CAGGCTAGAGTAACAATAATAACAATTATCATCACAGAAGCAGGCTAGAGTAACAATAATAACAATTATCATCACAGAAGCAGGCTAGAGTAACAATAATAACAATTATCATCACAGAAGCAGGCTAGAGTAACAATAATAACAATTATCATCACAGAAGCAGGCTAGAGTAACAATAATAACAATTATCATCACAGAAGCAGGCTAGAGTAACAATAAACTTCAGTAAACAAATAACAATTATCATCACAGAAGCAGGTTAGAGTAACAATAATAACAATTATCATCACAGAAGCAGGCTAGAGTAGCAATCAACTTCAGTTAACAAATAACAATTATCATCACAGAAGCAGGCTAGAGTAACTATAAACTTTTAAACAAGTATTTAAAATTATTAACCATTATTATTATTACACTAACAGTAACACTCTTAATGCTGAAAAAATAATTTACAGTGAAAGTTACACATTGTGATCTTTTAGTTAACGACATTTTATCAGCCATGTTTTAAATAACTAGAAACTATATACAGAAAATGTAATAAGTTCAAGAAACTTACCATGAAAGTCACAGTTCATGATGAGTCTGAAAAATAATAGCAGCATTAATAATAACAATAGATAATGTAATTTTACAATGTGTAATTTAATAAACGCATCAGATACGGTTAAAATATTAACAGCATTCATTTATCAGATGAACTATGCTCTAAATCATATGCAAAAAATATAAAACGTATTTTATATAAACAATTTAAGCTAAGAAAATTAAATTACATGTAAATAATGTTAATTCCCCTTATTAAATATTTTGCATTAGAATACAAGCATGAAATCTGAAATGTTATGGGAAGTTAGGAAATAATTTCAGTGGTTTTAAATGTGGGTTAGTTTTTTGTTTTTTATCTTACATGAAATCATGTAAAGCAGTGTATAACTCATATAAATCATAACGATAAAGGCACGTATAGAGATAATACCAATTACCTGCTCACAAACCTAGGCTTGAGTTGAGATTAAAGAAAGCTTTCCACTTTTAATTTTTTTTTAGCCAAACTTTCCTAAAAACCGGTTTCATATAAGGGTTATGAATACGAGTAATATATTTTATTCAAAGATTCTTCAATCGAGCACATTACCTATGATTATAAAGAAGAAATCAACCATCTAACCGGCGTTACCCAAATCGGCATTCATTTGTAAAAATGCTTTCTTTTGTTTCTCCAACAAACATTGAAAGTGAAACAGGTAAAAGTGGGAAATGCTTATTTTACAGCAATATTTTCTCGCACAAGTTCACCATTGTAAGATTATCAATAACGACGCAAGTCACAGTAAAATGCACGAGACAACACATAACGCAGTGTTATCCCTACCACCTCTTTAATGAAAACACGCTTCTCACAACTTTAGTGATTTTAAATCCAAGATAATCTCACAGAAAAAAACATTTTAGAAATAAAATTACTTGACAGTGCATCGTAAATATAAATGTTTAACTTTTATACCTTCTTATTTTTACAACCATAATCACTGTCTGCCGAATTACAAGTACACAAAATAAAGATAATACATACCTTTCAATCTCTAACATATACCCTTACGTCCGACATAACAAAGAACGTGATATACCTAGCACGCACTATTTATTGGAAACTAGTCATACTCTCGTAACCGGAGATACTGACCAAAATTACAAGTCAAAACTCATTATTGCTATATAAAAATATCATTTTGTTCTAAATTGTGTGATTACGTTATTTGTTTTTATTTTTCCATGTTACTTCTTATAATAATACTTATTTTTTGCATATTATAATAATCATATACAATAAGGAAGTTTACGCGTATGTCCACCAGGGAAATGTTTCATAAATGTTCATAAAAATAAAAAAGGTTAATAATGTAGTATTTTTTCTTAAAAACAGAAAAATTTGTAAATCTAATATTGCATTAGTAGCATATAATTATATAAATCTAGTAACTGATAGACACAGCTACTCCACAAAACTGGACAGTAAATACCGTCGAGCATACATTTTGGTTCATGGTTAGTTTAGAAATGATATAATGATTTATTAAAAGCATTTATAAACAAAATGTTACCAAGTTCAATTGTACTCTCCGATATTTACATGAATGAACCAATTAAATCGAAAATACAATATGCAAGTTCAGATTTTAATAATTACAACGTTTCGACCCACAACATCGAAGTTTTTCTCGCTTTAGTTACCTACTGAAGTAGGTCAGTAAACTAGGGTTTCACATACATTTCTTTTTTGAGGCATCCTGTTTACAAATAGACAACGATATTTTCCACTTGTAACTCGGGCGATGTCTTAAGAATAAAACATACCTCATTTTATAATGAAAGTGACCATCAGTCACGTGTGCCCTGAGGAGAATGGCCATGTTTTCTCAGTCTGAGACAATATTAAGTTTTAAGAAGCAGAATGATTGACTTTATTAAGATTTACAGATACATTTGGTATTTGAGTTCTTAAATAAAATCACCTAAAATATTCACTAGTTTTAAACCTTGATTGTTCTTTGATGGAAAAACAAATTGTTTCACTGTATTTAACACGTCTCTTTCTTTGCTTCCAATCAGTTAAAGCCATAAAATAGAAACCATTCTCTCTCTCAGCAAAATTTTACTGCTATGCTTCCTGTTATTCTGTGGCATTCCTTTATTTACTCTTAAGAAAAATCGATGAATCTGAGAATACCACAGAAATGTCTTTTATCGTTGTTGGGATGAAAATCATAAGGAGAAACACAAATTACTCCATCATAAGAAATATAATGTCTTATTTCTCAAGAAGCCATTCTCACTTCATACTACTATGTAGTTCTTTTGTCATTTGCCTGATTTTTCTTCAATCTCTGAGGCTTCAAATATAGTTTTAATGTATCTGATATGTTTACATTTTAGAATTAACAAGTTCATAAATAGTTGGTTTGTTTTTTGAATTTCGTGCAAAGCTACACGAGGGCTAACTGCGTTAGCTCTTCCTAATTTACCAGTGCAAGATTAGAGGGAAGTCAGCTAGTCATCACTACCCACCGCCAGCTCTTGGGCTACTCTTTTACCAACGAATAATGTGATTGACTGCCACATAATAACGCCCCCACGACAGAAAAGGCGAGCATGCTTGGTAGGACGGAGATTCGAACCCACGACCCTCAGATTGCGAGTCGAGGGCCCTAACCACCTGGCCATGCCGGGCCCATAAATAGTTGGACAGTCAACATAAATTTCTAGCATTTATATATATACACAAGATTATATAACAATTATATTAATTTTAACATCTACAGTAAATGGAGCATAAAAACGCCTTCTTAAATTAGAATGATATTTTTGAAACCTTTTGTTTTTAAGTTTGTTTGAAGTTAAGCACAAAGCTACACAATAGGCTATCTGTGCTCTGCCCACCACGAGTATCGAAATCCAATTTCTAACATTGTAAGTCTGCAGACATACCGCTGCCCCACTGGAGGGCTTGTTTTTACCCTTGATGTCCGAAAACCTGTTTATATGTAACATGGTAAATAATAATGCAAATACAGTTGATACACATACAGACCTCAGAAACAATGAGTAACTGTAACTAAATATTAATTGCTTGAAACAGAGCAGTACACCGTATTTTCTTGATAACAGAAGTTTATCAGTGTATGATCTTGATATACTGCTCAAAAAATTATGTATTCATTTCTACAGTTTAGTCAATTTGCCTTCTCAGTTTTCATTTACGTCCAGACTTTGTGCAGGTCATACTATGGTTACAAGTGTTCCATTGGTGTCATTTCACCACATTTTCTGTATGCTTGAGATCAAGTTCTTCCTTAATGATGAATCCTTGCACAACAGATCTAGTTGGTTAAATATAAGATCGTGCTTGTACTTTGTCAGCAATTAAGGTGACATCAATTTTATGTAGATTTACAACACCAAGGGTTGAGATGCAGTTTACGCTTGTATTCTCCCCCTCTTCATATTTCACTGGAAATTTTCTACACTGACCATCATACCATTCTGCTACCTGCCATCATAAAATTATTGTTACCTAACAAACTGAATTTAGATTATCTGTAAAAAAGCACCATCTACCAATCTTTTCTCAATTATGTCTGATGTTCATTTCAGCATTTTGGCTTAGTTATTTCTCCTAGGCAGATTTTTTGAGCAACTACACATCCACTGAGGCCACTTCGTGTTAATGTGTATCGTTCTGAAGGCAACATTCACATCTCCACTGACAGTTAGATCGCTGACAATATCTCAACTAGATGGTTATGTCTCCTGTAAAGACAATACCCCTCGGGTAAATTAACTTTACTTCTGTACAGTTTGGGCTTTCTACCTCATACACTTCTATTATTATCAATTTTAGTTTCACATGCTCTCCTCAGCCTTTCCATACAACTCCTACTAAAATATAAAATTTTGTCTCAATCTGTCACATAAACAAACCTTTGACATTACACATTTATCTTGTGGTATTTCTGTCTTGATAGTCATGAGTCAATAACCACAATACTACTGAGAATAGTATGACTGCCTTTCAGATGAAGAAATTAGAAACATCAATAGAACTACAGCTTTACAAAACTTATTTTATTATACAAAGGTGTTTAAAAACAATTTTAGATATTTTTTAACTGTTACCAAATCCCATCACAATATCTATAACATTAACTACACATGTAAAACAAATTGTACAATATAATGAAAATTTGTTTTTATTCTCTCATATTTCACTGCAACTGCACAAGCTTTGAATATAAAATCATATTTTAAAAGTGAAAAACATGGTATTTAAAATAATCATTAAACAATGAATAGTACGTTATTGTTCCATCTTGTATATGACTTTTCACAAACAGTATATAATGACTCTATTATTCTAGGCGTTGCAAACTTAACTTTTGAAGTACAAAACTAGGAGGTTTATGTACTTAGTGAAGTCAGTTTTCTAGCTTATGTACACTTTTAACCTTCTATAGTAGACAAAATGAACATTTTCTAATCAGTTAAAATATGAGCAAAGAAACAAGTTTACTAAACACCTGAATTAGTTCTCACATATTAAAGAAATAAAAATCAAATTATCATTATCATTCTCTTTACTCAAGACTACGTCTTGAATTCCACTAAACTTATTTCATAATTTATAATGCCCAATAAGTTCTGTTGATGTGTGTAAAATGTTTGTTTATTATGAATTTCATGTAAAGCTAGTCAAGAGCTATCTGTTAGCTGTCCTTAATTTAGCAGTGATAGACTAGGTGGAAGGCAACTAGTCTATATCATTGATTACCAATAAATAGTGGGATTGACCTTCACATTATAACACCCCATGGCTGACAGGGCGAGCATGTTTGGTGATTGAGATTCGAACCCATGACCTCCAGATTGTGAGTCGAGTCCTCTAATCACCAGGCCATGTGTATAATGTAAATCAAGTTTCAATGAAAAAGCAAACCTCACATTTTATAAATCTTAGAAGAAAATAGAGAACAATTTAATTAGTTAAATATTTAAAATACACACTTTTGTTTTCATTATACAACTTTTACTTCATTGCATTTTTTTTTTAAGTTGGATCAACCAGGGAAAAAATACTATTTTTGTCTAAAAAAAGAAGCACAAAAGGATCTGTATATATCAAAATCAGAGAATGATGGGGTAGACGAGTTACAGATATACGATGAAATGTACAAATACAAACAAAAAGTACACAGAAGTAATGATGCTAAAAGGGAGTTTCAATATATACATATATTCAAATAAGAAAGTGTGAATTATCTAGAATGCCAAAGAACCTATAAATAATACAACTTTTTATTGGGGAAAATTTTTTTAGCTTACACCTATAAAAAATTACAAAATCACCACAGTACAACAACACAAACAAGTATGCATTATTTATATGCTAGCCTAAAATTTATAAAAATGTTTGAGGATTTTTGTATTCCAAATCTAACAAACATAGGTATATAATAACAAAAAAAAATCTAATTATCTCTACTACTGCTATTAATACATTTTTCTAACAAGTGATTCATCAAGTGGTAGAATAAGCACATACAGTGAAAATGATGAGCCACAGAGGAAAAAAATATTGCAATATAATTGAATAGCACTGAAAAACTTACAAAAGGAAATTTTCCATATACAAAAACATTCCTTGCGAAATGTTACATTACGATAGATCAGTCTATTTCAAATCTATAAATGCAGCGTCTTGTTTCATTCTTGTTTAATACTTTCTTAAACTATCTTTAACTAATATTTGTGGCAGTGCTGCATTACTTTCAAATTGAAAAATTAAAAGAAAACTATTTGCATTTAGCAGAAAAAAAAAAAATTCAAAGTAGGTGGTTGTTCGTAAAGAACATCTCATCAACAAAGTTAGCATATCTGCTTCTGATTACAGCATAACTAAATGTATTTCATTTCCTGCTGTACCAACAGTCCAGTCCCTCAGAGGGTCAGTGGGAAGTTTCGGCTCTAATTTACAATGCTAAAATACCAGTGTTTAAGATGTGCGACAGTTATTATTAAATTTGAAATTTTAACACAATTCTGCTCATCTTATAGATATAAACAGTACAATTCCTGTTAATTATCTTTTAAAGGTTTTAATGAACTTAATTATTCTTAATTATAAACAGTTCTCTACAATGAGTTTCTTCAGTTCTCTGTTTAATTTGTTAATACACATTCTTAAATTAAGCTTCTAGTTGTTTTTTTCTCTGTGGTAAGTCTAATTTTTTGATTTCCTAACACTTGAAAACTGCACTTTCTAATCCCTCTAATGTTCATTCCTTTTTACTTTGGTTTAATTTAAAACTGATACAGTATAGTTGCATTTAGTGGTTTCCATTTGGGCACAATGCAATGTCCAATATTAGGATTAAACTTAACTAGGCTTAATTTCCCAATCTTTATGAATGATGGTGACGAACCTGCTATATAACTTAACATATTTGAGTGTAAATTCCATTGAAAGATGACAATCTTATTAGTGCATTTTGATGCTGAAACATTACATATTTAAAAATATCTGTTTAAGATATGTATCAGTATAAAGCCATCGACAAACCTTAGTGTGAATTAATTAAGTTATATACAATTATGTATTCACTAAACACTTTCAGTGGCAATATGTGAAACATTACTTAAAGGTTTAATAAAACACTAATGTTCACCTGTGTTAAGGAAAAGTTACAAAACAAAGCCTGTTTAGTGTTGCTTTACATCTCAAAAGGTTACTTTCTGTCACACAGAGATTCTGTGATAAAGATTAGACAGTTTCAAATGCTTACTGAAGTGAAGTGTATATTTACAGTTAACATGTGTTTTGCTATATATCAGCTTATATGGCAAATTGTTATTACATATAATTATTTCCTGCAGTCTGCAAAACCTTAATTTATAATGTTATACTTTAACTTTTGAACAGCTTAATTTGTAGGTATTCAGATGATCTTGTTTAACGTTTTTCATTGAGATCTTTTTTCTTCTCTAACTTTTAGTTCTTCTTGGCATTGATGAATCAGTTCCAACAGGTCTTGATAAATAGGATGTTTAGTGCCATGAGTAACAGTTATCACCTCTTCAGCCTATGAAGAATACAGAGCTGTTACAGTGCCATTTCTCCAAAGTAAGACAAAATGGTTAAATTTAATACATACATAATTCATAATAATACTAACATAGGCTTACAAATTGTTGTTTTATCAAGGTTAGCTATAAATATGCCCAAAAATATTAATTGTCTCAGTTATACAAAGTGGCAATATGAAATTTGGTTTATGACACTAAAAACAAGTTCTGTTACACAGTTTTTTATATTGTAGAATCTATTAAAATGTTACAGGGTTAAGTAATTAAAATTTACAAAAACGAACGTTGAAATTCTGAAAATGATAATCATGTCATTGGAAAAACAATGAAATAATACAAATTGTATATAAATATATTTTAAATTAGTCCTCACTGCTTGCTTGATAAGCTAATATACCTTAGATAAAGATTGTAATTCTATTTTCCTATACCTAGATGTTATTTACTTCTAAATTTCTCCACGTTTATAAATCTTTAGGAGGAGTTCCAGTTGATTTTTAAATTTTGCTCCTTTTCCCGATACATGTACACTAGTTAATTCATCACCTTTCCTTGAAATAACATCATGTTACCCTGAATTTCTAGGTGTATATGCCTGAAAATAAATCACCAGATCCAGAATTTAATTCATCCCTACTTACAGGTAACAATGAGTAAATATTAGGAAATGGTTAGATTCAGCCTGTCGAACTGACACAGTACTTACAAACTAACGAGTTCATGGTGGTGAGCACACCAGAATACAGAAAGCACATCAGCCACTTCCCAAATTACAAAGAGCTATAAATTACAAATCTAGAAACCATACCAAGGCAGCTACAAGGAACTCTTACTGTCATCTTCTGCCTAATAAGAGGAGAAAAAAGTAGCACAAACATATTTGAAAAGTGATCTAATCAAAGATGCCACGAAAAGACGAACATCCCCTTATGAGGGAGGAGAACATAATTATTCCACTTAAAACATACACAGCAGCTTGCGTATGCTAAGATATTCCCTTCCTAGATAGAAAATAACACCTATCAGTGAAATACGGTGGGTTCTAAACTTCCGACTCCTGTTATTATAGAGAATATTCTCAGGCTACAGAAAAGAAATTGACGAACACAATAGAGCTTAGGTGATATACTACTTAAACCAGTTTCTTAAACTGAAACCAGTAATTTCTCAGAAATGGCACATATGCAGTTGTACAATGCAAAACTGACACAATGTGCACAGATGATCAGTCACCTTAGAATATTCAATAAAAATTCCCTGTGATACCTCTCTCGCTCATACACAATATGGGGATGCAAAAAGTGTATTTTATTATAGTTTTCCCAAAGAAGTTTCATGCAACTAAATAAGTCTTGTGAGAGGTCCCACTTGACCAGTGATACCACAGTAACAGTGAAAAAATGGCCCTGTAGTACTGTTGACTCGTATATAGTGTATTGTGAAGTCGCTCACCTGATTAAATAGTTAGAATGATAATGTGATGTGGAGCATATGTGTATATAAAAAAACATCACGCCAACAAACACGAGATGACTGAATTTCAATCAAGGTTCTAGTAGAGGAATTAGGAAACAAATATAATTTTATTAAAGCTCAATTCGAATGTGACATGTATCTAACATACCATACAGGCCCCTGCTATATTAATCTGAGTCCTTTCACAAAGTGAACTCACCCATACTTTACTAGGACAACTGATATAAAATGAGCTTCAGGGATGAGAATAGTCACTCGACTGACCAGTCATGACAAAAGTACAAGGAAGCAAAGGTATTTCCATTGTCATTTGTGGTAGAGTGGTAGGTGGGTCTTTTGGGACAGGCTACTTACATTTTAAGTATGTACGTCACTCTCGTGAATATTTTCTTATAAATATTAAACTACTGGATCAAATTGCTTGAATGTTTTCATGAATGTTGCCAAGAATATGTAGTTTAACAAGACACAAATATTTAGTTTCGATTTTTTTCTTCATTTTTTTATAACACACAATGTTCATAATAGTGTATGAAAATTCAATATATAACGTACTTGAAAATAAAAATAATAATAACAGTAAAATTCTAAAATTTACCACTTTGTAAGCAGTACTACTGCAACATTCTTTGTAAGTACAGTAATTAATAAACCTTTTTCATTTATACTGTACTAATAAACCTGTATCATTTATACCTGTACTAATGTATTTCATTAATCATTTAATTTACATTTAATATATGTTTTATTTAAGTTTCTAGCAGTCCATGGTGCTTTAGAGAGGAATATAATTAGTGGGTTAGAAGTGTATTGTTGAATTATTACTTATGACCTCTGTTAGTCCGGCAAAATGGATAATCCGGCAAGTCTCTGGAACCAAGGGTGCTGGAAATCAGTGGTGTACCTCAAGTTACTTTGGTTAATACCAAAATAATGACTTTGATATGAACTTTCATTAAAAAATTGACATCATCCATTTTCATAGAAGAACTCTAAATAAATGCAGAAAGTACCTGAAAAAGTGTTTTCTCAGCAACATTCAAACGTCCCATGAACAACTGAATTTTGCCAATTCTAAATAGCTGGATTCCTAAACTTGGATGACATTTTCCATAATAAAGTCTACAGAAAATGATAAAAAAAGTAATAACAAATAATAGTTTTTATTTGTAAAACTTGTCCAAGTCTTTCATTATAAAATGACAATGTTAGTTAACTTTTTAATAGTTTTTTTATTTGTAAAATTTGTCCAAGTCTTTCATCATAAAATGACAATGTTAGTTAACTTTTTAATAGTTTTTATTTGTAAAACTTGTCCAAGTCTTTCATCATAAAATGACAATGTTAGTTACATTTTTAATAGTTTTTATTTGTAAAACTTGTCCAAGTCTTTCATCATAAAATGACAATGTTAATTACATTTTTAATAGTTTTTAATTGTAAAACTTGTCCAAGTCTTTCATCATAAAATGACAATGTTAATTACATTTTTAAAGCAGAATATAAAGTGATTTTCTACTTGCAGTTTTAGTGAAAACAAAAATCATATGTTTAATCTTGTAATACTTTTTACACGGAAACAAAAGTGTACTTAGCATAATTTGTGATTAACCCTCAAATTATCGACTTGTTTTTATACCACTCGCTACCAGTGGGATTCATGTAATCCATCAAAGTAAGTAAGTTTATGTTCTTTCCTGTTACAACAGTCATTGTAAAGAACTGAGTAAAAAATGTTGGTGAAATCACTCGTTTTCTATGTAAAAATATATAGGAAACCCCAGCTCTAATTAATAGGATTAATGTCAATATTTGTAACAATTTTCTTTACTGGCCCCATGTGTAATTTGGTGCAAATAGTTTAGAAAAAGCAAACCCAATCAATAATTTTATGGTTAAGAATGGCATAATGAGGAGCAGTATTAAGACAAAATATTTTTAATTTTATACATAAGTGAGAAAATAAAAAAACACCAGTAGAATGTGATCATATATTTATACACCCTTCTACACATGGGTGTCTGCAGGGAGTGGCTAGGTTTGGCACTTGAACCCGAAGTGAGAAACATAATAGATACCTACCCTGTAGCTAAATATTGAAAAACATCGCTACACGAAAGCCTTGTAACGTTCACTGATAATCTGCAACATTTTGTGAAGATATGCACACTGTATTAAAATTTAAAGTATTCTCTTGACTGTACTTGCATAACTTTAAAGGGGGCTGCAAGGTAAATTTTGTGGAAGGGCCGCAAAGTTACTAAACACAGCACTGTGCAGAGTAACAAATATTTTAAACTCTAACAAAAAGAAAATATTGTAGGAGGATACAAATGAAGTATGCAACATCAATATGTAATTGGACTTCAATTCTATTTTATGTTGTTAGTAATAAACATAATTATTTTATGTAGCTGTAGTTACAACCTTTCAGTCTTCATAACAACTAAACAGCCTAAGGGGGCTGTATGCTACATGTGCCCCCCCCCACCCACAAGTGTGGGTACATAAACATGGCACTGACTCTGCAAGTCCATGAAAAAGAAGTTCAATTCTAGTGCAACTTCACTGTTTCTAGTCCAGCCAATTTACTTTAATTCCATTGCAACGTCAGTTCTGATTCTAAAATGAATGTGTTCCTTTAATGTTATTAAAATACCTACATCGTGTCTTCCGTGTTAACATTAATTTCATGCTAATTAAGATCTACGTCAAAAGTACTAAAATTAGTCTGAACCAGATATTTTAAAATCTTTTTCACATTACTCTTGTTTTTTTTACTCACTTAGTAGAAGTTTTCAAAATAAGGATAAGCTTAGAGGGAAAACTTTCACAAGGATGAATCATGAGAATAATATACCATATTTAATGCCAAACATTATACAATGTAGTACACAATAGTCCATGGCCATTCCATATTGACACACTTAAAACCTTCACAGGTTTTGATTAAAAAAATATATATTTATATATCTATATACGTAAAACTGCAGAAGACAAGAAGCATGGAGTTGTAGGATGACTCAAAATTAGTAATTACTACTTGAAAACATCTCGAGACTATATTAACAGAAAGTATCTTCTGTATTAATGATAACTTCAGTTGTTCTAATGTAACTCCTCCTTATTTTTGTACTTGCTAATGTCATTAAACTAAAAGATTTTCCATATCCGTCTTTGTCTATAATTTTACGTTAATCAGAATACCGTACTTTATATTTTAACGATAACACTTAACATTTGAAAATAAGTAAATTTGGGGTTAGAGATCATCTGTAATCAGGGTTACCATGCCAACCTGTGCAGTCCACCCCCCCATCCCTGCTCTTCTGCCATTATAGGAATTCTACACATTTATGCCCACAAGAACCTGCAGCCCATGCAAATGCACGTGTCACATTCCTGAATGTAATAAAAGAGTGTATGTACAAGAAAGTACTAGCTACGTGTAACTCTCAATTTTATGAGACAAGTAGCAAGTATTAAAACAGCTTATGTACAGTTTACCTGCAGTTTTAATATTATTCTTGCTAAAACTCGAAGGTTGTCTGGAGGAACATTTGGTGATATTTTTCTGATGTTGTTACACTCCCTCTTGTGATCAATCCATGCAAGTTTCTAAACAAAAACAAAAGGAATTCACATTTATGTGGACATAACAGACATAATGAACTAAAAATATACACCAATATTTCAAACTTTCAACATAAGTTTTTAGAAAAACTTAGTTTCATTAGTTCTAGACATAAACTGTAGTAATTTTAATTATAATAATAAAACAAAAAGGCCAAATCTGAGGCCTTCTGCTACATTTTTTCTCAACAATTAATTTAGCTAATAATGTTTTTATAACAGTCACTCTATAAAAAATTAAAAAAGCTTTACAAACAATACTTAAGTTATACTCTTGTCTTTGTTGTGCTTAATACTAACATATGTTTTAACTCTTTAAACCCATAATGTTTTGCACATTCTGCCAGAATTATTTTCATGATTTACTTCTAATTATCATCATCTATATAAATAAACATCAGTATATGTGTGTGTGTATCTGTTCCTTACAAGTTTCCACATCTCTTGACCAATCAGCACCAAACTTGAAAAAGTGATACAGGATGACATTTGTTTGTGATTAAGCACAAAGCTACACAATGGGCTATCTGTGCTCTTCCCACCACGGGTATCAAAACCAGATATCTAGCAATGTAAGTCAGCATACATGCTACTGTGCCACTGGGGGGCACAATATGACATGAGGAAGGTCATGGGGGAGTGGATTTGTGCCCCACCCACCCCCATCATCTAATTTCATATTGATAGAATTCTTGAAAACAGTACGTCTTTCTTTTCAGTATTGGTACCTCTATGTATTTTTATTGCACTTTTAATGTTTATTTTGTTAAGAAGCACAATTTTCTTTATTAGCTAGTACCTTATAAACTTTCCAGTCTATTTATAAAAGATGGATAATAACATGGTTTGAATTAGTTTTCAGACGCTATCACCATCCAACGGGTAAAACGGGATTTTCAGTCTGAAGCTTGAAGCATCCGCTCAGGTTTAAGGAGTTAATCACTATTTACCTCACTGTAATAAGATTGTGTTTTATCCAGTATGATAATTACATTACTGTTTCTCAAATCACCAGTTTGAAAATTACATTTGAGTAAACAGAAATTATTATAAAGAATATGTAGGTAATGAAAGTAACTAAGTTCAAACAAAAATAACACTAGGTGTAACTACATTTACATCAACGTATTACAGGCAATCGCGCATCTATCAGTCACATTATTTTCATAACTATCTTCCCAACAAATTTATATTAAATTTAATTCTCAAATATAGCATAGACTTTTACTACAGCTTTTTTTTTTAAATCTTAAACCTGGGGAAAAAAAAATCTCACTATAGTTGAATGATATTTTATTTTCTAATTTGAATTTGCAAAAAAAATAATAAAACCCCACGAGTAAACAAAAACAAAGAATAAAGGTGACAGACGGTCGTTCACAATCACCCAACAAAAAAAAAACACACCCAAAGCCAAATGACTTGTATTCCTTAACAACCACGTATCTATTCAATAAATAATTTTTTCACCAAATCGATAATCTCTCAGACAACTTATTGCATTCTTAAAGTGAAAATAAACTCCTAGTATTGTACAATGCATGGGAATTCTGCATTTTTGAAGTGTGTCCCCTTTGAAAATAGTACATATTTTTTCAAACAAATTTCCATATTTTACCGAACGAGTCTTTCTGACATAACTAAATCAAAGGAAAACAAGGGACCACTTGGTCCATATAGGCCATTCCATACACTGAACTTTAACATACTCAAAACCAGTCCCTATCCTTTAAATATTGATCAAACCTTCCCTTAAATTAACTGTATCCACCACATATGAAGGCAACCCATTCTGAAGGCCAACCACCCTGTACGAAAATATAGCTATCTTAGCAGAAGGTGACTCCTACCCTGCAAAAATTAGATTTGTATCCCCTACTCAGGGTTGTTGAGAGTCAGTGAAATCATCGAGCCCCTCTTTCATTCTATTTATTAACTTTTACTGGTTTTTCATAAAAGAAATTTAGGTGACACATTTCTTCACGAATCCATGAAAAAGCAGTAGACATTTTAGCTCATTAAGTAGTATGCATTTCTAGTGAGTTTTGGAATATCCCACAGACCCGGGGCCAGATGCCATCTTGCCCCCACCCCCCTCTCGTCAGCCCTGCCCATAGTTCTACCATTTTCATCACTAAGTATAAAAAAAAAAATATGATGCATCAACACTATCAATTCCATTAACAATTTTAAACATTACAACTGGATTCTCTAACTCCTCTTTTTTCAATAGAAAATTTCAGGGATCTTAACCTATATTCATATGACAAATTTTCCATCCCAGATATTATCATAGTAGCCCTCCTCTGAACCATTTCCAACAATTCATTGACCTTCCTAAGGACTAGGTCAATTTTAATTCTAATCTACAAAGCTTGATGACACTCAAACGTTACATTTCATAGCTTGCTTTGATCAGAAGATAATAATACGAGAGTTTATTTTTCATTTTCAACATGAATATTTTTTACACAACCATAAATTTATTATTACACAGAAATGTTTGTATAAACTTGTGGTTATAATGCTATTAAAGCTACAACAAAAACAGACCCTTAAAGATTTTGAATTGTCTCCCCTGAAATTAAACTATAGGTGAAGTCTTTTAATTGTTTAAAATATACAGGAATTTAGATAAACTAATTAGAGTTATTGAGTGGTGGAATGATGATGAGTAGAAATGGAAACTTTAAAGAGCAATCAGTTTCAGCTTTGTTTTTTTTTTTTTTCATTATTTCACTAAAAATATTACAAACCTGTGAGCATATTGCCTTGGGTTGGATAAACAGGAAAAGATACATTTAAATTATGTTGGTTACGTTGATTGGATATTTCAGTGGAGAAAAGGCGACTTTTATGAGGTGATTGTCTTGTTTTGCTATGTTCATTCTTATTTTCAAGAGAAAAAAACAAAATCTGGAAAACAGATGAAACCCAACTGAATGAACATGAGTCACTTTATTTTTACATTAAACTACTAGTTTGGGAAGATTATTTTTGCCCCAGTTTTTCTATAAATTACCCCAACTTGATAAAAACAAAAGGAAATAAAAAGGTGGTAAAAAATTTACCTGGCATTCCTTGTTACAATAGTAGACATATCTACAAGATGAACAACGAAAAACAGTAGTGATCCTAGAAATATAAAAACATAATTATAACATAAAACTAGTATTTTTTTTGTTCTCATTCATTTTATACAAACAAACTGTGTGCTAATGTATGACAAATGTATGTTTTATGTCATTAACAGACAAAATAAAGTGATGGACAGTGACAATAACTCTCCATTCTTTTCTAATACTATACTGAGATTCAAATCAATTATAAGTTACTTATTTCTTCTGCTACAAATAACAAATATTACAAGTTTCATGTGGTATTCTATTCAAACAGAGCAAGTGTAATAACTTAAAAGTAGAAAGTTGAACAGTACATTTATAACATGTTGTTAAACCATGAAATTGGTAGACCAGGATTCAACTGTACTGCTAGTGCTACCAGCTGTGCTAGACTAATAAACATTATTTTCCTTGAATAAAAAAAATATATATCTTACAATAAAAATGTGCCACACCTAAAAATACCAACATATGAAACTATAAGTATTTAAACAATTTGCACAGAAAATATTAAATGCTCTAATTAAATCTAAAATGAAGAACAAGTTAAAACATATTTTATTTTTAATACAAGTGGTGATAATGAGACTAAGAGGTACACTGCATATTACAATTTTTTGTCACATTTATGTTTATAGTCTGCAAATAAATTACGTAAACTTGTTTAAGAAAGTTCTTTATTTACATTCATAACAGTTGTACCCTAATACTGCAATCACTAATAACATTATATACAAACACTTGATACAATTTGTAATTTTAAATTAAAATTCCACTTCCAGTAAAGATAAAAATCTTCGTAGCAATAGCATAACTAACACTAGTAGTAGTAATACTAACAATAAGTTGAGTAATGTGTTCATAAGCTAAAGCGTTTAAATTTAATCCAAATTGAAACGGTTTAAAAGTTTTGACTTTTGTACTATTTTGTGTAGCCTGTAGGAACTAGTAAAACACGAATATTTTGACCTTAGTCACCTTACTTAGTGTGAACTTAGATGACCAATGTAAATACAAGAGGCTTGGCGTGTTTCTGATGCTAAAGCTAATCGAATATACCGAAACGAACACATTACTGACATAGGCCAATACGGTTACTGTATTATTGTATACGCACCCTTGAAAACAATATTCACAACGCTTTGCACGCTGATTTTTATCTAAAATATGCACAAACGGTTGTGAAGACAACAACAAAGATCCTTTTTTCGTTTTACTTCTGTTCATAATTATTCCACGAATCCAAGTTCATTCTTAGCGTTGAATTTCCCTCCCAAAAAAGTAATGTATTGGACTATTGCTCAACACAAGGCGATTTAGCACTCTTCTTGCCATCTGACGTCAACAAACACAACATCGACTCTGAAACAAAAATTTCATCACAAGATAGACATTGTGGACTCGAAAAAACATACTATTGGATCCCACACACATGCAGGTATTAAACTAAACTTATTTGGCATTCAAAGTTAGTAATATATTAAACAATAAAGTATTAAATAAAAATATATAAACATAAAATAAAAAAGACCGCACAAGGATTTTGAATTTCTAGTATGGTAAATAATATTATGTTAACAAGTCGCCCTGTGATGTTAAATTTATGTAACTGAACTGTAGATGTGAGATGCCCTATTATGCATATAAAGAAGGTTTCTTGTTCAATATCTTATCAATATATTAATTAGGAGCTATTGGTTGTTTAGATAAAAATAATAATAAATTCCACGAAATATCAGATGTGTGTTAAAACCTCAAAACTGTTGTCTTCATTTTAATTGTCCAGAGGCGTAGGCAGAAATCGATAAGGGGGTTGCTACTTTTCAAAGAAAAAGTAACTGGTCTGGGTGTTTTCAGAGCCATCATTGGCCCCGGATAATAATTGGTGTGTGCCTCCTCCCCCGAATAGTTTTTGAAATTATGCTACGTACACCCATGAGCGACAAAAGCCATAGTTAAACGTTCTGTACTGATTTTATACATTCCGTACACATTTACAGTTGTCTTCCCCATAGGCGAAAAAGAAATTACCGCTAGCGAATGACATACAACAATAGGTAGCTATAGTGAAAGAAATTAACGACTTTGTTCATCATTATGGGCCCGGCATGGCCAGGTAGTTAAGGCGCTCGACTCGCAATCTGAGGGTCGCGGGTTCGAATCCCCGTCACACCAAACATGCTCGCCCTTTCAGCCGTGGGGGCGTTATAATGTTACGGCCAATCCCACTATTCGTTGGTAAAAGAGTAGCCCAAGAGTTGGCAGTGGGTGGTGATGACTAGCTGCCTTCCCTCTAGTCTTACACTGCTAAATTAACTCAAATTACAGTTCGCAGATAGCCCTCGTGTAGCTTTGCGCGAAATTCAAAACAAACAAACAAACAATCATCATTATATTTTATGAAACTGCACATATATCTGAATAAAGAAAAACATTCTTTATTAAACCAAGAAGGTAGAAAACACGTGGTTTATCTGCTTACAACATATTGTTACGTCTCCGTTCGTTAGTAAATTTTCCGTAACTTCGTTCCGACGAAACTTTAGCGACACAAGTCCTTTCTTAAT